ACACTTGAGAGAAAGAAAGAGAATATTTGCTTAGTTTAAATATATGGACATTAGTGTTTTTATGTACATATTTATTACTAACATAGATAGATAGATAGATAGACAGACAGACAGATAGACACCACCCACCCAAATCAATTATGTTCTGAGATCTGCAGTCCCTCACCCGCATTGATAAGTTACTCACCCTCCACCAGTTCGTGTTGGTAATGTTTTTAAATGATGTATTGTTTTTTCATGTGTGAGTGTTTTATTTAAAAATGTACATACATGATTAGAGAGGCTGCTCTTAGTAATTGCTAACTTTCTACGCGCACAGTAATGTCACTACAGCAAATACTGTGAGACTCTGAAGCATAAAAACTAAAAACCAAATTATCAACCTTAGGTAATGGGTAGTTGGAGTCCACAAACCAATGGGTGTCACCACGGTGGCTACATTTTCTTCTTTAATACAGTCTATGTGTGATACACACATTTTTAGATTCAGTATGACACACAGTTCCCACCGTTACCATTATTCTGTCCATCATTAATAAATATCCATAAATTAGCTTAGAAATCCTTGAACAAATGGCGCTCTTTATAACTGTTTTTTGTGACTTGATTGGACAATCATGATATTTTTAAAGTTTCTTCAGTATCAAAGTAATCCGGTGATAGTTTCCCATACATCCATGAGTACAGTGCTAAAGACAAGTGCTAATAGCTAATTTGTCATACTTTTAATGCTGCCAATCTGTAAAAATGTAACTGAATATAGGCTAAAAAAAAGTTGTAGCCCACAGCTGACTCGATCACTGAATCCATAACATCAACAGCAACATTATACTTCCTGTTTACATTCCACAACTAAGGCTAAGATTCTTATGGTGATCAAACAAAGACATATTCCGTCTAAATTTTTTAAATGCTTTAATTTAAATAATGCTTGAGTTTGGTACTTTTTCCTACAGTGGTTATGAAGTTTATCATGACCTTAGTGCTTAATAAGCTACAGCAATTTGCACTAAAAATGTCAAGCTTCTCATTTTCAAAGTTCTAACTCACTCAGTTGCCCCATATACAAAGGCTGTGTCCTTGCTGCAGCTGCCTCAGGTTTGGTTCCGACCCATGGCTCTTTGCTGCATGTCATTCCCCATATTTCACGCTATATCTGTCCTATAATTGGACATGGTGGAGGGGGTGCTTCAGGGCAGCAACACGAAAGCATGACTGACCCTTTGTAGAGCCAGTGTTTGGTTTGTCCGTTTTGGGCTACTGCAGAAACATGGCAACATAATGATCTCCATAGATGGAGACCACAACAATTCTTACTTTCAGGTGATTATACCCTAAATAAACTTCCTTCATATATTATATTATAGTCCATTTCTGCCAATATAAATCCTGCAGACTGGACCTTTAACCACTAAAACTCCTGCAGGTGCAGTAGCTCTCATATATACAGTAATGTGCTGACAAACATGTGAAACAACACTTTTGTGTTCAGTTTTGCACTTGAAAATATATTATTTTTATATTGCAAGTGTAAAATGTGGCTCCAGAAACCCCTCAAAATAAAGCTGACATTTAGGAAATATTTTTTTTTCTTCAGGCAGCTCATTTTCAAAACCCCCGGCGATAGAAAGTGCACTTCAGACAAAATGTTGTGTTAGCGATTATCTGAAATCAAAAGACAATTACAGAGGAGAGGCACTCAATAGAGTGTAGTCCTCTACCACTGTCTAATAATCTCCCCAGTTAGTCATTAGTTTTCACTGGCAGGGCTGTATTGGTTAATGACAGCGTGGTAATGAAGGCTGGCACAAGGGTAAAAGGTCACGGGGTAACTGAAATCAATACGTTTACTCCTTTTGGGAAAATATGTAAAATATTCAGTCAATTTATGAATAATGACTCAGAAGCTTCTGCTTGTCTGGCAATATGCAGACACGACAGTGGTGCCGGGGGAAAGGTCACATGGTCGACACGATCAATATGTTCTCTCCTGGTGTGGTTATGAAAACACAAATTAAAATTCACTTTAACCTAGTGATTTGTTTTCAGGAGGTTCGAAGACACAAACGGACACGGAGGTCGTCGCAGGTCCTCGGCTCTCTGGTGAGGTAATTATGAGCTGAGAGTCAGGGACAAAATGAGATGTTGGAATAATGATTTGAATACAGGGTGACATTACATTATGTTCAGTGAGGCTGGGTTTCAGAAGGAGGGGGCGCAGCGAAGATTAATAAAAATCATGAAACTCATAATGAGGTTGTAATGCTGGACAAATTAAAATTTTGACCTGATGATGGCACCAGATGAAAAGTCAGGGGATGACCAGTGTCCATATAATTCATCCTGAAGGGAAACATGAATGTCTGAACTACATTTGAAGGCAATAAATCAAATAGTTGTTGAGACATTCGAATTCAATCAAAGTGCCAAGCTCATGGTGGCGCTAAATTATTCCCTATCTTTTCTAGGGGAGAAGGAAACAGAAACATTTTCGTTATCATTCTGCTTTTTATTCATAATATTTGGAATCTCAGTCATTAAACGCAGCATTTAATGGTTGTTTCTGAGGGCTGTTTGCTGCGCAGATTTAAAGCCCTCAGAGGCAAATGTGTTTAAGCTATTTAAATAAAGCTGACTTGACTTGTCTAATCAATACCTATATGTTATAGTTGTAGCAGTAACCACCTATGAAGCTTGTCAATCCCTTTAGCTGTAGCAGGCCTTATTTCCCAAATGTGGAAGACTAGTACCATCTGTTCTCTGCAGTCAATGAAGAGCTGGACCCAGATGGTAATAATTGGACAGTAAATCTTTCAGGACCGGGGGACAGAATTGGGAAAAGTTGTTGCCATGGGCACAGATATGGGGTGGTTTTGCATCTCTTTGTAGTAGTTATTGTGGTTTTGTGTCTCATTTTGGTTGTTTTGAATCTCTTTTAGGTATTTTTTTTCTTTTTTGTGTCTCTTTTGGGTCATTTTAGCCCTTTTTCTACAGAGATCGTGCTATAGGGTCGCTACAAAGTCCTGTCTTTATGCTTCCTTTGCATTTTTACACAGAACCAAATGATGCCGGCATTATACCTCTCCAGTGTGCAATGGTGCATTTAGAATTACTCATTCTGAGTGTCGAAACGCACTCCGACACAAACTGGACAGTTCGTAATTTCGGAGCGCTGTCTGAATGTACCGTTAAGTTTATCAAAGCAGCACACTCTCAGAGTGTCAGAGCGCACTCTGGACACTCTGTCTGTGGAGACAGAGCAGCAGAGCGCCGAGCAGAGTGAATGTGTGGTTAACTTAACCATTTGTTCATTCATGTAGAAATATAATGCTGTGTTTCTTCCACCAACAGGGCTCTCATTTTAGTGTAGAGCGTCAGACTGAATCTATGAACGCACCATGTCAGGTCACTCACTCTCCAGGACCGCCAGTGTTAGTTGAATAAGTAAACACTGACCAACGGGATCAGACTGGCCGACCCGTATGCTCTCACTCAGTGGATGGATGATGTCACAGGAAGCCAATCTTACAAAGGAGGACCACACTTGAACGGTTCCCTCCAGTTTGTTTAGCTATTGAAGCTAACGTTAGCTAATGAAATCCAATATTCCTCTTAATCCCTCCCCAGTTTCTGATGAGGTGGACATGATAACCCTTAATACACATAACCTTATTCATCCCTACAACAGGAAATACTTTTTCCCTAACCTGATATGAAGTGTGCGCTGCACATGTGAGCATTTTTGATGATGGCCTCCGTCCATTCCTTTGGTCTTATCACATTTAACCATAGTTGTCTTTGTTTTTGTTGACGGGCAGTGGTGGCTGGTTTTGAGCCATGACTCCTTCTATTCTGGCTCCCAATAACACAACAAGACAAACACATTTTAAGACTCCTATGTAGCCTACAGCCCTGTGGGGGAGAGGCAGGTTTTGCCCCAGCTAATAAAATGATGTCATTGTGACGTTGATCCTCAAAGGGTCTATTGTGACATAAAACATACACATTGGCAGCTCTTTCTTAACAATAACAATGGCATTAATATGACAATAGCAATCATTTACCATCACTGCTATATAGCAGTTGGTCTTGTCCTCTGCTCAGAAGGTTAGAAGCTCCTGAATCTCATTGTTTTCCCAATTTGCAGACATTTATGGTCGCTGTTCTTCTTCTTTGAGTTAGCCGCCAGCTGCTATCACTTACCCTTGAAATCTCCTGCGTAATATGATGTTAATTCCACTTCAGAAGAGACTTGATGATCTCTAAAATTAGGTGGGGGGAAAAGGTGGATATATTGACATTGGTTATTAAACAAATAAGTTGTTACATATCGGCATATCGGATATGGACAAAAAAATTGAATATCGTGTATCCCTAGTTTTATATTTATCTACATATAATAATGCTGTGCAATTTCTACTGCCATTTTTGGTGGTGGTGTTGTGCTGATTTAGAATTTATATATTTTTGTGCCATTCATTTTAATTTTTACAGCACTTTGGTCAACTGCGAATGTTTTTAAATTAGTTTTATAAATAAACTTGATTTGATTTAAAGAAGTGGAACATTTACCTCTGAAACGAGGAAGAGTATAAGTATAGAGTACCATAATATTGTAGACTACTTCACTACATCAGAGACTGTAGGTACATCATCAGCACATCATATGTACTGAGTCATGTTTCACAGTGTTGTTTAAATAAAGAATGATTTAAAAAAAAAAAAAAAAAAACGTCATCAGTGAATCAGTATGAGGCAGACTGCCTTTACATGTATGACAAGTATACATCCGCGCAGGCTGTGAAAGGGTCAGTTTTTACCCTCACTCTGGTCTGTAAACACGATTCATCTCCCCCGTTAAAACTATTAATATACCTTAATATAAAATATTCGTGTTTAAAAAAAATCTGAAGTTATTTAATGGTGTGTTTGTCGAGGACCATATTTATAGTTCCACCGGGCGGGACGGCGGAAGGATATGGGACTTGCTGCCTATATAGCCCGCTCCGTTGCCCTTTGTGTATTATAACCTGAGACAACCAAGGGAGTAGCGCTGTTAAACACCGGTGGGAATCATTTGTTTGTAAGTATGTGTGTGTTTTCGAGTATAGGTACTTTGCTTAAGCCCAGCATTTTCTTATATATCATTATGTGTGTTTAATCGATTCAAATATAACTATTTGTAACAAATAAACCGTTAGCTACGCCCGGTGTTTTGCTAGCTAAGTTAACGAAGCTAACCGGGGCCTAGCTTAAGAAAACGTCGCTAAACGGCTGAACTAAACCTGAATTCAGTTTTTAATTCAGTCAGGCAACCTGACAAAGAGTGACACATTAATCTGTAAAAGGGAGTTAATCGGTGAGAACAACAGAAAGGACCGTTTATTTTGGCTTCCGGTTACATTAGCAACTTTAGCTCATTAGCTGCGTCAGCTGTTAGCTGACTCATAACAGGAAGTGTCTGATTATTTGAAAAATTTAACAATATTTTGTGTTAACGTTAGCTTTTACCTCCATCTACCGGTGATTAGAAGACGGTTTTTGTTATGGTGTTAAAACGTCCGAGGCAAAAAGTGGAGCGTTTAACCTGATAAATAAACTGCGACGTCGGCTAACTGTTAGCTAAACAGATAGGCTAGCTAGATGTTTTTCACTAACCGTTACGTAGGCCTGAACAGCTGTGGCGTAATGTCACGAAGTAATGCTTCGGGGAATATCTGCATTTTATTTGTCTATTAACATTTGTCAGCTTTTATTACACTTCATTTACGAAATAAAATGTGTACTTTTACTACAATACAGTTTATCCAAGGATCTTTAGGTTATTACAGAATAGAGACGGGCGGACAAATGAAGGAATGTGACTGAAAGAAAAACCGCGTTAACTTGTACTTTTACTTTAAGTATTTACTAATAAGTGCCAAATATTATTTAGTTTTAGCTCCTTCACAATCACGAGAATTTCCTTTTTTTTGTCCTGTGCCTTAACTGAATATATTGGGTGTTGGATTAATGTTGCGTAGACTATAGTAGCATTTAGAGGAGTTTAGCAATAAAAAGAGAAACAGGATGTATAAAGGTGGTTGTTAAAATGGTGACTGTTCAGCTCAGCTGAATACTGAAAGTTGTAGGTAGCTTAATGTTTGTGGATAAACCACTTCCCCTCAGAGGAGCTTGTTACTGATACAAAAACAACTGCACAGTATTACTTCCTGTGTTAACAGTGATCTGGCATTTGTAAAGGACTTGGTTTTTTTTTTTTCTTCTCAACAGTGTCAAAATGCAGATCTTTGTGAAGACGCTGACTGGTAAGACCATCACTTTGGAGGTTGAGCCCAGTGACACCATTGAAAATGTCAAGGCTAAGATTCAGGATAAGGAGGGCATCCCTCCTGACCAGCAGCGTCTGATCTTTGCCGGCAAACAGCTGGAAGATGGCCGCACCCTCTCCGACTACAACATCCAGAAAGAGTCCACCCTCCATCTTGTGCTGCGTCTGAGGGGAGGCATGCAGATCTTCGTCAAGACCCTGACTGGCAAGACCATCACCCTGGAGGTGGAGCCCAGCGACACCATCGAGAACGTCAAGGCTAAGATCCAGGATAAGGAGGGCATCCCTCCTGACCAGCAGCGTCTGATCTTTGCTGGCAAGCAGCTGGAAGATGGCCGCACCCTCTCCGACTACAACATCCAGAAGGAGTCCACCCTCCATCTTGTGCTGCGTCTCCGTGGAGGAAACTAATCTGCTTCTGCTAAAAGAATTCCCAGTTAACCCACCATCTATTTCAGTGTTTAAATCGCTCGTTCTCCTCAAGCAGTCAGGCATTCCTTTTTAATTTTTTTTTTTTTTTTATTCGAGTTACAATTATTCCTGAATTTTGCTTTTAATTTCACTTTGCAATTTGAACTGCTTAGCTGACAGTGGTGTGTTTTTTGGGTTCCACAGTGTGATTTTTAGATTAAAAAAATATGCACAAACATGATGTTAAAATGATAATATTGGAAACATGTTTAAGTAGTGCAACATTGATTAGAAGTTAACAGGTTTAAATCGTCAGTTTGATAGATGAAAGTGTTCACTGTATTTCATTGCAACCGTCAGAGCAAAATCTCCATGGAAACACTGCTGTTACTAATGATAACTAATAAAATGGCTTCTCACCATAACCTGCTGACTTCTGTTGTTTTTAGTTCAACACAGGTTCAGTAACATCAAGCAATTCATTTGGTTATTATCATTTTTTCTCAACATGGTATTCCTAGCAGTATTTAAAATCCACGCCAGACAAGTATTTGTTACTTTGTCAAAGCACCAGTCACGTTATATTAAGAGTTTAAAGTACACTGAGGTTGTTTCCTAATGCTTTGAGGTTTTAAGGGGCTGGAGTGAGGCATAATGTTTGTCCACTAGTTGTAACCAGAGACCAGCTCAACAGTAATCATTTTAACAGGTTGCTGATGGGGTGTTTCAAACCAGGGGTGAAAGAAATACTTAAATATACTTTTACTCCTGTAAAAATATTGTAGCAGTAAAGCACAGTATCTATATTTCTTTACTGGTTTAGCTCGGATGAAGTGAAGCTTCATTATCTTAATGAACAGCTGTGACAAATATAAAACAAAACAACACATGTTCATTCAATTCATACTTTACAGCAAATGTGTTGTAGTCTCAGTTTATGTATAATGATTATTTAAAGCTCTGATTAAGAAATATATTTTCCAGAACAATTTATTATTTAATTTATGAAATGTGACAAATACCGCAATTTTCAAGAACCAACTAACGGTCCAAAACTCCAAAATATTGACTGCTCAGTGTAATATAGGTATAGGCATTGCATTTATAAGTAAATATATAAACATATTTACTCAAACACTACTTAAAACCAAATATAAGATGCTTTACTTGAGTATATCTATTTAAATTATTTTACACCTATAATTCACTGTGTGCTTTTTACTACAGTACATTTATTTCACAGCTTTGTTTACTTTACAAATTACATTTTTTGCATACAACACAAGACAAGCTTATAAAATATAAAATAATATAAAGTATTTAAACTTAGCTCCACCTCAAATGGCTACAACAGTAAAATGCGTACACACAGTATCAGCATTAATAAACCAATAATGTTGTGTACCAGTGAAATGGGCCAGGTACTTTTACGTCTGATACTGTGAGTACTTTTTGGACGTAATACTTACGTACTTTTTCTTCAGTGACATTTTGGATGCAGATTAATCATGATGGAGTGATTTTGAATCGAAATATTTTATCTTTAACTGATGTAAAGGATGTTAATGTCATCTGCCACTTACTAACATAGAGCCAGCAAATATTCTCTTTTTTGTTTTATTTTTATTCTTTATTATTTTATTTATTTTTTTCTAAGTATTTTTCTTGATAGATGGCACCAAGGATTAATTGACTATCTTTTTTTTTCTCAAAATCACTTGATGACTTAGTCAAATTCCAGTAAGTTTAAATAAATCTGTCTGTTAGAGAAATAAACTCCAGGAAGTAGGTTTTTTGTGTAGTTTTACGTTTTTTGAGTATTTTAATATATTTTTCTAAAATCAGAAATTTGACTTATTTTTTGTTTTTTTAATTTTATTTATTTATTTATTTATTTATTTATTTATTTATGTATGTATGTATGTATGTATGTACTTAAATCAGTGATTCACAGCTCCACCCTGCGGGCACGCTTGGTGGCACCAATCAAACACACCTAGGTATTACGTCATCGCCAGGTGCATGATGGGCGTTGCTAGCATGCTAATCGTTATGCTAAACGCCGAAGAGCTCGTGGAGGGCGGATTCCTCGTTCTCTAAGGAACTTTTACCGTCATTAAATTGTTTGTGCTGGTTATACTGGCAGAGAAAGGTGGTGACGTCGTGGAACGAGAGCTAACGTTAACGAACAGAGAGGCTGGAGCAGATTTCGGAGGACATGGCGGCGCACGAGACTCCTGCAGCCAGGTGAGTACAACAACACGCATTCACCCATAACCATACTGCTCCATTAACCCATATCCATACTGTCCAATTACCATACTGTCCCATTCACCCATAACCAAACTGTCCCATTCACCCATAACCATACTGTCCCATTCACCCATATCCATACTGTCCCATCCACCCATAACCATACTGTCCCATTCACCCATAACCATACTGTCCCATTCACCCATAACCATACTGTCCCATTCACCCATAACATACTGTCCCATTCACCCATAACCATACTGTCCCATTCACCCATAACCATACTGTCCCATTCACCCATAACCATACTGTCCCATTCACCCATAACCATACTGTCCCATTCACCCATAACCATACTGTCCCATTCACCCATAACCATACTGTCCCATTCACCCATAACCATACTGTCCCATTCACCCATAACCATACTGTCCCATTCACCCATAACCATACTGTCCCATTCACCCATAACCATACTGTCCCATTCACCCATAACCATACTGTCCCATTCACCCATAACCATACTGTCCCATTCACCCATAACCATACTGTCCCATTCACCCATAACCATACTGTCCCATTCACCCATAACATACTGTCCCATTCACCCATAACCATACTGTCCCATTCACCCATAACCATACTGTCCCATTCACCCATAACATACTGTCCCATTCACCCATAACCATACTGTCCCATTCACCCATTACCATACTGTCCCATTCACCCATAACATACTGTCCCATTCACCCATAACCATACTGTCCCATTCACCCATAACATACTGTCCCATTCACCCATAACCATACTGTCCCATTCACCCATAACCATACCTGTATAGCTATACTGTTCTAATCACCCTCATGCATTATGTAATTAAATATGCACTGATTTGCATAATGCTGCTGGTCCAGAACAGATATCTGGACGTTGGATAAAGCCAGATTCAATATTCTTGTTTCATTTAGTTGATGCATAAAAGTCAATGTTCCAATGATCAAAGTTATTCCTGATGAATTGTAGACTTTTAATGAGCACGATTTCTAAGCGTTAAAGGATAGTTTTGCCCAGTTACTACCTTAATCAAAATCTTATACTGTTGTAACCCTAGAGTGAATACTGTATTGAAATTTAAACACAACTGAATTCACAGCTTGGAAATATTTAACTCTGAAACCATCTATCTAAATTTATTGTTTCTGAATTTACCTCTTTGAAATTATGATATGAAATTAAACACAGATTCAGGGTTGCTGAGATTCAATTGGTCAAATTCAGACCTAAAAATTCAAATTCCAAAAGTTCAAATTGAACATTAGACAAATTCTATTGGTCAGAAGAACATTCAGGCTTGAACATGTGTCCTGTCCTGGGTAGCTTGGATGTTGCCATTTAATTATTTTAAACTTGAATTTTTAGATCTGAATCTAAACAGAATTGAATTTGAGCAACCTGAATCTATTTTTCATTTTTCAATTGTGAAACGTATCATTCTGGATATGAATTTGTAGAATTTTTTTTTTTTTTAATTTTATTTTATATTTCATTAAATGTATGTATTTTATATATTTTTTTCATTACATATTTTTTATTATGTTTAATAAATCAAGTACACCTCAAACAGGCTGGTGACAGAGTTCATACGGTAGTAGATTCCAAACAGAAATCTGATATTTTTTAAGATTGCAATACTTTTTTTTTTTTTTTTTTTAAATTTAAATGGTTCTCAAAGTAAAATATTTAAATGATATATGGGTCAATGACGTGACGCTGCTTTTTTTGTGTTCATATGGTTTAGTCAAATTTGGTGTAACCGGTTACACCATTTAACTCCTATTAAGAGCTTTTCTGTTATAGGCAGTTATGTCAAATATCAGCAGTTTATGACAGTAATTTGTTAGATATCAGTAGTTTATGATGCTAATTAAAGATGTATTATAAAAAAAACTACTTTTGATCTTGTACAGTAGCTTTAAAATACCTAAAAATCCAATAATTCATTGAAAGTAGAAATGTTACTCAAACATTAAAATTTTTGTCTGTAAAATACAATTATTTACATTTCTGCTATTTCATTACTAATGTATGATACATTTATAGAAAACTAAAGTAATCAAACTAAATAAATAAAATCAATTTTCCCCAATAGATGCCAGGGCCACCTGACAAGCCCTAAGGGTTTTCTTTTGGCTCCTCCCGCACACTTTTTTTTTTCTCTTTTAAGTCATCGTTTTTATATGTGTCAATACTGTATGTATTCTGTTTCTTCTTATTGACATCCTATACTCTTTTTCTTGTGTGCAAATAAAAAACAAAAACAAAAAAAAAACAAGGAAAAAGTGGCTCGTCATAGAGTGCTAATGCTAATGAATGCTAATGCTGCAGCAAGGGCCAATTACGTCCTTACAAGTTGTTGTTGTCGGTGACTTTTCCCCTTATCAGAATTTAAAACACAAAACATGAAACATGAGTTAAATTTTAAAATTAAATGATTGTTGTTAGCAAAGAATTTACAGTAGAAGAAATTAGTTAATTGTTTTCAGCTGTTCCTTTTTCTGAACTTCCTCTCATTAAATTTTTATCAACCGTATTCACAATAGTAGACCAGTTCACCCTTATGAGTTCTTGTCAGGTGACTTTTTTCTTATTAGAACTTAAGATACAAAGTAGTTAAATGTAGTTAAGTTAAATTTTAAAATGAAACATGATTGTAAAATGTTTTTCTCAGCAAAGAATTTACAGTAGAAGAAATTAGCTCACTGTTGTCAGATGTTCTTTTTTCTGAATTGAAATAACATGAAAAAAACAAGTTCACTTAACCTTGTTGACTGTCATATTTGATTTTCAGTGTCAATTCCTTCACCAAACAATGGTGTTTGACTGTAGAAGGAACATGGTTAGGCAGTGTATCATATTTTTATGAAAAATACCAGTTACACCAATTGACACAACCCAGTGTCATTTAGTGTAACTGGTATTTTTTCATAAAAATATGATTATATACAGGAAAATAAATGTGGAGTAAAATGTGGAACAAATGTAATCCACTTCTGCAGTGCACAGTACACTGTGTTTTTTAACAAATTTTACATAATTTGTCACGCGTTGTTTAGAAAAAAAGGGGTGTTTTTAGGAAATGTCCTGCTCAGTATTGCCAAAATGCATTAAAATTTAAATATAGAAATACTCCATAAATATCTTATTTCAATTTAATGCTTTTGAAATAAAGATTTTTTTTATAAGTACACTTAAATCTACTGTAGGTGGATAAAATATTTAATATTTATCATTGTTTTGTGGTTACACCATTTGACATTTTCAGGAGCATTCAGTCTTACTTTTTATAAAAAATGGTGCAAATGTCATTTCAAATGACATAAAACCAACAAAAATACAGAATGTACATTTTAACAAATCTGATGCATGCTTTGAAAACTATTTTTGAAGATATTTCTGAATTGCTCATCTTGCCAACCCTTATTTGTCACTGACCCATAAATTAAATTTTAAATTTCATATATAAAGTATTCAGTGGCTGTTAAAATTCAAATACTGTCTTTTATTTGCTTCCATAATTAACTAATTATTATTTTCATTATGGATTCATCTGCTGATTATTTTCTCCATTTATTAACTGATTGTTTGGTTTGTAAAAATTTGGGAAATAGTGAGAAATTTTTGTCACCATGACCCAGAGCCCAAAGTGATACCTTCACAATGTTTTTGTCCAAACAACAGTCCATACCTCAACATTGATACTAACACATAACATTTATTGATATTATTCAAAGGAGATATTTGTGAAGCTGAAACCATTAAATACTTTAAAATTAAAAATTCCTTCATCCATTAAAACAGTGTCAAATTAATACCCTGTCAATCGACTAATTGATTAATGGATTAATTCTCTCAGTCTTTGTTTAGTGTGTAAAAACCAAAGCTGTCAGATAAATGTACTGGAGTAGAAATATAATGTGGCGTTAACAGAAAAGACAAGAACCTTAAATTTGCACTTCAGTACAGTAGTTGAGAAAATGTACTCCGTCACATTCCACCTCTGTGTGAGTGTTAATCAAGTACAGATGAAGCAACATGATCAGATTTTAAATTCTTTATTACATTTTCAGTCTTTACATCCATAAGTCACATTAACCATCATGTGAATCACCTTTGTCTCTATTTATTTTTTAAATGCACAAAAAGCAGAGATGAACAAATCATGATGAATAATACAGGTTCAGAGTGGGGTCATGCATTCATTAGTATCATTATTATTATTATTAACACATTTTGGTTGTTTCTTTGCAGCTATTTATTGTCACTACAGGAAGCTCTCTGCGCTCCGACACGTCTCAGAGAGCTGAGAGAGTTTTTTTAATTCGGGGAGTTTTATAATACACGTGGCTTAAATCTGATAAAGATCCAATTAATATGTCAGAGAGCTTTCTGCTCTTAGGCTCTGCCTCTACAAATTAAATTTAAACTGAGATAAAGTATAGACATCAGGCAGATTATGGGCTATAATCTGAATGCTCGGCACCGTCCTTGTGTGTGTGTGTGTGTGTGTGTGTGTGTGTGTGTGTGTGTGTGTGTGTGTGAGCGCCACAGGGTCACAGCGGTGTGTCTACAGGATGGTCTCAGCGCAGGAGTCAAAGAAGCGAGCATGCAGTTTCTGATCAAAGTCTCTGTGTGTTCCAGGTGGAGGAGGCAGCTGGTCCTGAGGGGGGTAAAGGCGGAGCTGCTGTTGTCTGGAGTAGGAGCCTGAGTCGTCGCGGTCTGAGTCCACCTGGATGCTGACCTGGGGCACGGGTGGGCGTTGTGGCGGCAGCGGAGGTGGCAGGTGTGACGGATCGTCCCCGGGGGCGAGGCTGGAGGTCTGGGAGTGGGCAGGTGAGTCGGGGCAGGAGATCTTCAGGTGCAGAGTGATGCTGTGGAACCAGGTTACACTTTTACTCTCCATCTCTCACACACACTCTCAGTTACCAGTTTATTAGGTACAGCTAGCTAAAGTTAATGCAGCCTGAGACCTTGATCACACAGAAAGTGTTTCAGCAGCTGGCAGCGCCTTTTTGTAATAGTTTTTAACGAGAATGAAGCATTTAGCTCACGGGTTTTGTTGCAACGCACCTCGCATTTCTGTGCTCTAGGCGCCACTTTGATTTTTATTTGTGACTATTTGTACTGTAACTTTTTTGACACACTATACTGTGCCTCTTTATGTGACGTACTATACCAAGACTTTTTTGTAACGTACGATACCATGACTTCTTCTGCGACATACTGTGCCGTCACTTTTTTGACACATCATACTTTGATTTTTATTTGTGACATACTACACCATAACTTTTTTGACACGCTATACTGTGCCTTTTTATGTGACATACTATACCAAGACTTTTTTGTAACATACCGTACCATGACTTTTTATGTGATGTACTATACCAAGACTTTTTTGTAACGTATGATACCATGACTTTTTATGTGACATACTATACCAAAACTTTTTTGTAACATACTGTACCATGACTTTTTATGTGACATACTATACCAAAACTTTTTTGTAACATACTGTACCATGACTTTTTTGTAACATACCGTACCATGACTTTTTATGTGATGTACTGTACCAAGACTTTTTTGTAACGTACTATACCATGACTTTTTATGTGACATACTCTACCATGACTTTTTATGTGACGTACTATACCAAGACTTTTTTGTAACGTACGATACCATGACTTTTTATGCGACATACTGTGCCATCACTTTTTTGACACGATACTTTGATTTTTATTTGTGACATACTATACCATAACTTTTTTGACACACTATACTGTGCCTTTTTATGTGACATACTATACCATGACTTTTTTGTAACATACCGTACCATGACTTTTTATGTGATGTACTGTACCAAGACTTTTTTGTAACGTACTATACCATGACTTTTTATGTGACATACTATACCATGACTTTTTATGTGACGTACTATACCAAGACTTTTTTGTAACGTACGATACCATGACTTTTTATGCGACATACTGTGCCATCACTTTTACTACTATGGCTTTTTATGTGATGTACTATAGCAAGACTTTTTTGTAACTTGCTTTACCGTGACTTTTTATGTAACCTACTATACCATGACTTTTTTGAGACATACTATACAAATACTTTTTGTAATGTATTATACCATGACTTTTTTGTGACATACTACACAATGACTATTTATGTGATGCACTATACCAAGACAGTTTTGTAACGTACTTTATCATGACTTTTTTTGACATACTATACTTTGACTTTTTTTGTGATGTACTGTGCCATCACTTTTTCCACACACTATACTATGACTCGTCTCTCTTTTTTCCTGCCATACTTGTCTGACGTTATTTTCTTCGTCAGTCTTACTGAAGCTTTAAAGGCCAATAAAGACTGCACACCGAGTTAGACATCAGCCGCAATATTTATGTTTATTACTCTTCTGTATTACAGTGAAGATAAAGTGAATACTCAGACATATAGTACCTCTGCACTAACATCATATACCTCATGAAGGGATGGTGATTTCTTTGATATACAATATGTTTGCAGTAGAACTGATAGCTGTACATTTGACTGTCAAATCAGAGGATTCAATTTATCGTCGCTCCCTTGAAGGATTAGCCACAGGCCTTCAAAGACAAAACTCACAACAGAAATATGTATAGCAGGCTTTAAAATAATACTGTAAAATAATTATCTCGTGACTCAAAGAGTTTAGTTTTCTCTTCTCATGTTGGTGTTGAAAATTGTCTGAGATGACTGCGCATATTAGGAACAATCACTATCGTCACTAACTTTAATGTGAGGAAGAAATAGCAGATGTAACTGACAGACTGTTGAACTTTGACACACAGAACTTTGCATGACATTCAGTGATCTTAATACTGAAACTAATGTCTGATTTTTTTTGTATCTACAGAGACACTGTTCACATGGATGGCAGGTTGGAGTGACGAAGATGATGACACATTCTGCAGTGAGTCAAATGATCTATAATTAGAAAGCAGACATGTTTTCTGTTGGTAGAAAGTGTCAACTTTGGAAACCCCTGACCTGGAGTATGTTTAACTTAAGCAGTTTATGTAACAACTAACAACTTCTCCATGATCTCTACTGTACAAGCCTGCCATGTCAAAACAATGTAGGAAAAAAAAAGCCTAACATTATCATTGAATTTACATGTACATGTATTTCTTGTTGTAACTATGTGTTTGGTTGAAGGTGACGGTGTCGTTGTCCCAGCCAGTGTTTGCTGTCGTGCAGTTTCGGCGCACAGTACCTGCGGTCTAAGTCGTTCTGATCGGAGTTGACTGTCGAGTAAGGGTTCGTCTCCTGTAGGAAAACACACACACGTACACAGAGACACAAAGAGAGCATGTGCACAACACACGAAGAGACAAGCAAACACAAGCATGTAAACACATGAGTACAAACACAGACACAAAGATAATAGAGATGAACAAAAACACTAAAACATGATAACCACCGCTTCATCTTTAGGAGTTGCTATTACTACTGACTATGGCACAGAGGCTGGAGTTCAAATCCCAGTCAGGGCTAGTAACACATATCCAATACTACTATCCTAAATCTGAATATGTTACGGCAAGGGGGAGCCAGAACGCCAGGTCAAGTGGGGATGTCATCATCATCCCCATATCAGTTGTACTATTATAATCATAATAAGAATAAGTAATAAGAAAAAGTAAACCTATAGGACCAGTAAACTGTTAAAGATAAATGAAATTCTGGTATTCCTCCTGAGCTGGGCTATTCAGAAGACGGAGGTAGGGCAGGATATACAGGTAAGTAAGATTAGTTAGTGTGTCCTAAAACAGTCATAGTAGCATGTAGTGTGACAGTAGTGTGTGACAGTAAAGCATAGCAAAAACAGTCATAGATAGTTAAATTAAAAAAACATGAATTATTATGGAAACAAAATATAGTGTGTCTTAAAAGTGTCTCTTTCTAACATCCTAACTCTTTCTATCTAACATCCTAACATCCTATCATCCTAACTCATTCTTTCTATTTAACATCCTAACATCCTATCTATCATCCATCATTCTTTCTAACATCCTATCATCCTAACTCATTCTTTCTAAAATCCTATCATCCTAACTATCTATCATCCTTTTTAGCTATCTGTTTTATGATTTTTTTAATCTCTTGTTTTAGCACTATGTAGTAACAAGTACAATTTTTGTTTTTTAATCTAACTATCTGTATGTCCCCACCTACCATATGTACCTGTATATCCTGCCCTGCCTCCGTCCTGTAAATACCCCAGCTCAGGAGGGATACCAGTATTTCATTTATCTTTCAGCCACTTCAGTTTACTGGTCCTATATTCTTATTACTTATTCTTCTTATGATTTTCTTCTTATAATAGTAATACATCTGTGGGGATGATGATGATGATGGCTCCCCCTTGCCGTAGCATTTTCAGAATTAGTATAGCAGTATTGGCTATGTGTAAATTGCCCTGACTGGGATTAGAACCTGCTCCATAGTCAGTAGTCTTAACCACTGAGGTATCCTGCTGCTACAGAGACTTTAGTGTGTATGTGTGTATCTATAGATAGACTCTTGGCATGTGAAAAAGGTCGTAGTGTGTCCTAAAAGTCACAGTATAGAATGTGAATTTTTTTTTCAAATGCTATACTGTGACACTTTTAGGACACACTACACTAGACTGTTTTATCTCTGTTTTTGACATACTTTACCATGACGACATTGCTGATATGAAATCTCTACAAGACAGCTCACCCATGGTCACAAGCAACATCTACCAAAAGCTCTATTAGCACTCGACCTGTCACATTTAATAAATGCCATCAAACATTAAACTAACCAAATGAACACAACAAGAGGTGGAGGTAGGGGTTGGTGTACTCACAGTCAGAGGTTTGGTTTTGGGTGGGAGGGTTAACAGGGGCAGGGACTGGCTCTGTGTGGGGCGCTATGGCCTCCATGGGAATCGTCACAGGACGGGGAACAACGCTGTTGGGCTAAGGGATACAAAGAACAAAAGGCTGGCATGCAGGGCTAACTGGGATTGTAAAGGACAAGGCTCAGTGTATTCTATACTTTTGTTATTGTCAAAAAATTTTTCTTCATAGTCACTTCATAGTGTTTTACACTTTAGATTTTGAGGGAACACGTGGACTAATTTCACTTTCTGGGGTGACCAGACCTTAAAACAGGACTCATTTTAAGGGATGTTTGGACACAAGTATAGAATAGCACTCGCCTTATCCTTCAGTCACAATCAGCAGTGAACATAATGGGTCATAAAGATGCTAAAAGCGTCAACAAGTGTTGGAACACAGTGGTAAAGGGAGACAGATATCCTAAGAGGAGGAAGGACAGACAAAAAGACTGTAGTAAGTGTTGTACAGTGCCTTTTCAGCAACACTGTGGGACAGAGAGGAGAAACATACAGTATTAGTCAGAGCAAACAAAACCCAGGAACGACACACCCACAACAGATGGAGCGACACACATTTAAATACACAGCAAATAACCGAAAACAAGAGATACACACTCTCCAACTTCTGGAGATTACAGTAGCTGTGTGTTGGCAGGCAGACACGGGATCTGAGTGTGTGCTGAGTAATCTTTTAATTTTATTTTTGTCAACATTTCCCTCACCTCCTCGTCGCTCTCTGGCTCTGCCGCCTTTTTCTTCTTCTTCTTGTCATCCTCCTTCTTCTTGTCTTTGTCTGGCAGGATGTCGTCCAGCCAGGCCAAGTCGTGTTGTGAGAACATCAGATCCAGCAGCTTCCTCACGACCATCAGACCCAGAATCTACAGACACGGGACGGAGGATAAAGGGACACATAGTTTCTGATCCGTTTTCTGTCAATGGACTATTCATGTCAGCTTGACTTCACATTACTTGAGTAAATGTACTGAGCTACATTCCACAACTGCAATTAACATTATTCATTCTTGTAGTTTTGGCTGTCATGTGTCCACTCTCGCATCTTCTAAATTAAACATATCTGACACCTTGGTAAATGACACAAACAGAAGGACACAGGACACAGGACACACAGTAACACACTCACCATCACTGGAAAGATGATGGCAAGGAAGGTGGACTTCAGGATCCAGAGGACAGCCAGACACACGATCTGGACGAGGGTGAAAAGATGGACGCGTCTCAGAGGAACATGACGCAGGAAAGAGAAGTCTGGCTGGTGTTTGGGTGGCATCAGATACAGCTTGATACGCTCCCAGAACTGGAACACAAAGACAGAACATGTCTTAGTCTCTACAAATGTAAAAAAGAATATTACAACATTTTAATTGTAAGGATATCCTGCTTCTGTTACACCATAGCATGCTCACTTAATTTGTAACGTTTGTCTCTAAATGCTTTGGTTGAGTTTCTATTTTTGATTCTATTGTTTATTTCAGTTTGATTTTATTGTCATTTTAAAATGCATTTCTTTTGCACTATGGTTGTTTAGTGTACGGTACGACGAATTGCCTTGCTCCTGACGTATAGATAGCTATATAGATAAACTTGACTTACTTTATTATAATTTTGTTTTACTGTCTTGTCCATGTGCTGCTTAATCAATGCAATGACACTGGGATGACATACGATACTATGACTTTTTTCCATAATTTTGGACGACATACTATACAATGACTTTTTTTCGTGATTTTGGACGAAATACTATACTATGACTTTTTTCCATAATTTTGGACGACATACTATACTATGACTTTTTTTCCGTGATTTTGGACAACATCCTAAAGTATAACTTTTTTTCATGATTTTGGATGACATACTTTACTATGACTTTTTTTCATGATTTTGGACGACATACTATACTATGACTTTTTTTCATGGTTTTGGAAGACATACTATACTATGACTTTTTTTGTGATTTTAGACGACATATTATACTATGACTTTTTTCCATAATTTTGGACGACATACTATACTATGACTTTTTTTTCGTGATTTTGGACGACATACTATAGTATGACTTTTTTTTTCATGATTTGAGGCGACATACTATACTATGACTTTTTTCCATAATTTTGGACATACTATACGATGACTGTTTTTCATGGTTTGGGACGACATACTACCATAGTAGGAGCTACAGAACACCTTGCCAAAACTACCTGTCACAAAGACAGTTTCTTTGCATCAATACTTGCATCCTTGTATATTGAACATTTTTTATATTTGATGTTTATTTGTATATGTTTTGTATGTTGTATAGTTCTGTATATTCCACCTCTTGACTAAACTTTGAATACTTATGTCAATTCTGGTATATTGCGAGCAAGTCTGCCGGAGTCAAATTCCTTCTATGTACACACGTATTTGGCGAATAAAGCTGATTCTGATTCTTTGTCTCTTTTTCATGATTTGGGATGACATACTATACTATGCATTTTTTTCATGATTTTTCATCACATACTATACTATGACTTTTTTTCATAGTTTCGGACAACATACTATACTATGACTTTTTTTCTTGATTTTGGACGACATACTATACTATGACTTTTTTTCATGATTTGGGACGACATACTATACTATGACTTTTTTTCTTGATTTTGGACGACATACTATACTATGACTTTTTTCATGATTTGGGACGACATACTATACTATGACTTTTTTTCATGATTTGGGACGACATACTATACTATGACTTTTTTTCATAGTTTCGGACAACATACTATACTATGACTTTTTTTCTTGATTTTGGACGACATACTATACTATGACTTTTTTTCATGATTTGGGACGACATACTATACTATGACTTTTTTTCTTGATTTTGGACGACATACTATACTATGACTTTTTTCATGATTTGGGACGACATACTATACTATGACTTTTTTTCATGATTTGGGACGACATACTATACTATGACTTTTTTTCATAGTTTCGGACAACATACTATACTATGACTTTTTTTCTTGATTTTGGACAGCATACTATACTATGACTTTTTTCATGATTTGGGACGACATACTATACTATGACTTTTTTTCATAATTTTGGACGACATACTATACTATGACTTTTTTTCATGATTTTGGATGACATACTATACTATGACTTTTTTTTCATGATTTTGGACGACATACTGTACTATGACTTTTTTTCATGGTTTTGGACGACATACTATACTATGACTTTTTTTCATAGTTTGGAACGACATGAGTAGAGTACACAAGTAAAACAGAGATAAGAATATGATCTTCGATCTACCTGAATGCCACTCAGTGAGGCCACTCCCATGTAAAGGAACACTCCATACAGAACGGGCATGGGGATGAACTGAAATAAACACACTAGCAGTTAAGTGTGAAGTGAAACAAAAAAGAAATGTCGTTGTTCATGCATCTACTAACTTACCTGGAGGACTGGAGCTAGGAAAACTGAGAGTCCAGTCAGAACGAACACCAGAATGCCAGTCAACCTCTGTTCCCTAGAAAAAAAGAATCATAGTAGTATGAAATGGATGCAGTGCAGAAGATTCTCTCACACACACACACACACACACACACACACAAAGTCAGAATAATCTTACCTGACTCCGAGGAACTGTGGCTGCTCTCCAGGCGCACTGGACTCACTCTCCATCTTGAGAGAGTCGATGTGTGCGATAGAGATGACCGTGGCTGCTACGTACCAGGGCAGACCCATGAAGGAACACACAGCCATCAGCACACCCACCCAGAACAGGTCCAAGTGGTAGCCACAACCTTTCTGCAAGTGTGTACAAAACAGGAAGACAAAATATATTCAAGTCTAACCATGGCTGGAGGACTGTATAGTTTGAGGAACAAATATGTAAGAATGTTTTCCATAGATCTGTGATTAACTACACATATCATCTATGTTCAAATCTAAAACAGATAGTTCAGGTCCTTGATGATTTGTTGAGCCACATCTGAAGCCACTGTAAAATAGTTCATGCACACACAGCTGTGACCACATTACAACATTATTATTGCACCTATTAAATGTTGTTTCACAGTGTCAGATCAAAGAGACAGAGAAGAGGGAGACAAGGTGAAGGTGGACAATTTTACAATGTTTCTGTCAGTTATAGATAAACTACTCAAAACGTTGCTTTGTAACTTTTTCTTTTTTTCCCATAATCAATCACTACTTATTAGACAGCATGGTTCGCATTAAACATTGTTGAATGTTGTTATCTTCATGAACACTGCGTAAGTGGCTTTTAAGACGCAATTTCTTCCTAAGAGCAATTGGTGAGTGAGGCCCAAAGTCTGGTTCGAAGTGCAGCTGCATAGCCCAGTATACACTGTGTGGATTTGGGCTGTCCCAGATGAAGGATGACCAATGTAAAAGAAACATGGCTCTAAAGCGGTGGTCCAATGTCGCACAATGAGAGGTTCAAGGATACATAGTCTTGCGATCAAAGACAGCCTGGGACAAAATTCTGACAGTGTGAGAAACTTGGGGAGACCATCTCACTGTGTGACTGCTGTTACCACCTACATCTACTAACCAACCAACAGAAATGCAGCATGAAATGACGGACTGGTGCTAAACCCAAACAAACGGACGGATAGCAGCTCGCCATGCAGGCAAAGCACGCTAAAAGAAATGTGTGAGATTCCAGCAGAGAGGAAAACCTTGTGGAGTTGTGGCAGCAGGAGCCTTGCCTGTATGACGTGTCCTCCAGCTCTTGACATGATCACGTAAAGAAGGATGTGTAGTAGTAGCGGTATATAGAGTCCATCAAACTTATTAATAATGTTACCCTCTATGTTGTGCTTCACAGTTGGAGAATTAATAACTCTAAGTATGGGAAGCTACTGCATTATACTTGGTAGCCTGTGATTTAGTAGCGTTGTCATCGTACAGTCTGCAGACATCAAACTTGATGTCGTACCCAAGTTTATCAGATCCATGTTGCACAGTGTAGCTGCACTAAACTTATAAGACTGATAAAATCTCACAGTCTGTAAAGGAGGACAACTGCCAATGGAAGCCCGAGTCATTTATCATCAGCCATGAAGAGAATGGTCAGAAACATGCTGTCATTCAATTAATGTACAAAAAACACACAAAGATGCTGGCAAAAAAAAACAACCAAACAAACAAAGACTATGTGGATGTATGTCTGAGCAGCAAGAGGCATTGGTTTACAGTAATTTTAGAACCATTACAGGGGTTTTAGGAACTCCTCTCTGCGTGGTGTCTGATGTTGTGTTCACACCGGGTGCGAATTAAACAATTTGTGCGAGTATATTACAAGTAAAGTCAACTTAAAGACGTGATTAGACACATATTCCTGCCGAACTGCGCAATGGATGTGATGTGAATGACTTGAAACACTCAAATTAAGTGGCGCAAATTAAGCGATATTGTGTCATACGCTTATTCACTAGAGTTGAAAAATCTGAACTCCAGCCACCAATCTGCGTCTTGATATCAGCACTGAGATCCTTCGGGAATGCATGACGCTGAGGACATACCAGCAGAAGTTTATTCATTGATTCAGCAATTTTATGTGTGTATAAAGCAAGTTAAAACAAAATATTCTAGGGTTCAAACTCATGTGAGTAAGGGGGCGATCACACAGAAATGAGACGCTAGAGACGCGGACGCCTCAAAGACGCTTGAAACGCTGGAAGCTGTTGGTGGTGTCTGACGCTCAAAAAGTTGAAAATATTTTAACTTTTCAGCGTCTACGCGTGTCTTAAAAGTAGCGTCTACAAAAACGTGCGTCTAAAAAGACGTTGGAAAAACGGCTGTCTAAAAAGACGCTTGAACGCTGGTCAGATGCGCTGCATCATACGAAAATAATGGCTTTACTGGCATCGCGTTTCTGGCGTTTCATCTCGGT